ATATTTTCAATTTTTCTTAAGTTATTCATTAAAAAAGTAAAATTTGGGATTAACTGGTTAAATTCATCAACAATAAATGTGTTATCCGGAAACTTACACTTAAAAAAGGTCTGTTTTAATAATATTATAATTTTAGTATGATATTTATAAAACATCCCGTAATTACTTTCTCTATTTAAATCAATTAAATTAATATAAAAAAAAGTTGATTTAATACAAGTTAATAAATTCATCAAAGTTACAAACTCTTTAAAATTTTCATATTTAAATAAAGAATTACCATGATTAAGTGCAAAATTATAAGCAATAGAAAATAGATACATGTCATATAAATTAATTTTACAATTTAAAGGAGGAGTTATATGATTGAAAATGAGAGTATTACAATCTTTAAAATCACCATTTTTAATGTAATTATCAATACAAACATTAATTTCATCATTTAATGAAATAGCCTTGTTAAATCTATGACATTTAAAAACATTTTTAAATAGAAAATAAAACTTATAACTTATAGAAAAATGCTCATTAAAACAATGATCTATAAAATTATTAAAACTATACATTGTAAAGTCATTATGAAATGGAACAATTTTTTCATTATAGTCATAGTATTCAAATTCACATAAACAAACCTCATTATAACCAACATAAACAAGCTCATCTAATAGTATTCCAGAGATGTTTTTAATATGATCATAATTAATACTATAAAGATTTGCAATGCCGTGTTTAGAAAATGATTGTCTTTTGAATTTTAAATGATATAAATCTTCATTATACAAACACTTTTCAACTGTATATAAATACATTTCTGAAGTACCCACTACAATCTGTATTTGAATAGGTTGTCTTACATCAAAATAATTAGGATTAAATGATAATGTTAATGATAATATATTTAAATCCTCATAAATAATAAAACATTCTAAAAGATCAATTAGAAACATTAAGGGTTAATTTTTTTATTATTTTGTTTTTTTATTAAATCTACATAAATCTTATCAGTTTCTAAAACATTTTCAATTTCTTCTCTATAAAATGATGAAATAACAACTGTTTTGTTTTTAAGATACTTATAAATACCAATATCAACCAAGTGGGAAACAAGATCATAAAACTTCATAAAATCAGTAAATTTCATCCCAGATAACTTACAAAATTGCTTATATTCATTATAACCATCTGTAACAGTTATAGAACTACTTTCTAATAAACTCACTAAAATAACCTTTTCATCAAATATTAAATTTTTAACAAATTTTTGTAAAAGAGTTTCACTATTCAACTTAATATTTGATGAAATTTCTTTAATATTTGAACCACTTTCTTTCAAATATCTATTAAGCATTCTAATGTCACCACTAGTAGCAGCCACTTTCTTAGATAAAAAATCAACCACCTTTCTATTAGAATTAGTAGTAATCTCAGACAATTGTTTAGCAGTATAAGGCTTAAAATTAATTCTGTTCTTACCAATTCTAGATTCAACCTTCTTACTTAAATTACCAAGAGTGTTACTTAACAATATTAACATAACATTATTTTTACTTTCCAAATAAGTAAATTCTAAAAGATTGTAAATATGAGTTTCATTTTTACTAATAATTAAATCGATCTCATCAATAACAATAAGGTGTTTATACTTACATGTATTGAGATGATGTCTTAATGACTGTAGATTCTTAGTTCTTTTCTCATAACAT